CCCCAAAACCCCAAAACCCCAAAACCCCTTGAAAAGTAGCTATCTTGAAGGTTAAAGCCATTAATAAAATAAAAATCAGTTCTTTACATTACGTTACAAACTTAAATCTCATGAATTCTCTGCTTGTTCTTAAACTTTAAACAATATTTAAAAGCATCAGAACTAAATTAACCCACTTGAGCAGATATAAATAAATCTGGAATCCGCTTTAAAACCATAAATGTGGTTACAAATTGTAAGAAAATTTCAAAATTCTAACCCTTCTTAAAAATTCAAAAGAGCCCGTTCAAAGACTGGTCTTTCATAAGAGAGACTGGGAAATTATATAGTGCAGAAACTCTTGTGTGCTGCATGTTGGAATCAAGAAATTTCTGATCAAAAACTGTTCTATCAGAGCACGCTTCGTTGAGTCCAAAGGTTCACTGAAAAGTTTATTCACCCCAAGGTCAAACATGGCAAGTTTGTTAGCACAGATTGAAAGATCAGAGCGACTTTAGAGGTATAGATACAGCTGTTTTATAATTTTTTACTGGTAGGAGCTTTCTAGACACTTCAGGCATTTGACAACCTATTATCTGAAAAGTTAGGGCAGTCACAAATCTGCAGGGAAGTTGTAAACCAGCTGTACCTGTATCATTAAAACTCCTGCTGTCTGATAAGTGGGGTTCCTTATTTGCTATACATTAGCATAAAGGTGAATAAACTTAACAGCTAAGTTTTGGAGTTTAAGGGCATTTATGTTATCGATTAGTGCTTCAACCAAAATTTCTGATTCTAAAGTGTTTAAGGCATCAGTCATTGCTCCATTACGATGCTATCTGTTCCTTGCAAGTCTGAATTGTAGAACGTACAAAGGTACTTACACTTATCCACAAACCCATAGGCTTATAAATTTTAGTGGAAAGAATTACAGAGGTAAATAATATAAGATATATTCCAATGTCTCCTCTTGACGATCTACAGGTAAATTTCCCTCTAATTAAGATTTAAGTCCATATCATAAAAGCTATTTGTGATTTGACCAAGGAAATGAGGAATGGACACTTCCTAAATATCCTTGGGATATTATTCTCTCGGTAGGATTACAGCCAAGTTAAATCATGAAATGACTAAAAAATCCCATAATTTTAGACAACCAAGCCTATATTCTTCATCTTGCTAGCAAAGGAAGCTTCTTAGGTTTATTGAAATTTTAAAGAGAAGAACTCAGGTAGATAGAACTTAGAGTATTGAAAAATAGTATCATAACTATATACGTTCCTACTCAGATGATCCAAAGATGATGCCAAACTCTGGAAGCGAAGTATTTCAGCACAGAAATTTCTGGTAGATGTAATGTGATGCTTTAGACCCCGAGTCAAGGTTTCAATTAATAAATTTACATCTGTAAAATAATTACTGATTGTTAGGAAATTTTTATCCAAGTTGGTTACTAAATAAAGCTTTATAATTTAAGGTGAATTTTTTTAGAGTTAACAAATAAGATCTTGTTGTTTTGTCTTTATGTTCGAGCTCAAGCAGGGCTCTAGCCCTCTAAATGTATCTAAGGTAGTTTTGGGTATTGTTTAAAGAATCATACTTCGATAGATATGCACTTTTGAATTATTTATACCCCTTTATTTAGAAGCAAAGTATGTAGTCTCTAGCATTGTAGTAGACATTACTTCGGTATTCTTGTCAAAATCAGACAAAGAAATATGGTTGCACTTTATGGATCCAAGAATACTCTTTTGTTCTGCTGAGAATAATATATATTATCAGAACGGATTATTCAATACAATATCTTAAGAGTTTTGCCTCAAAGCTGTGACACTCTTGAGGGATACCTGATCAATATGCTTTGTTTCAGACAGCAGTGGTTTGAAAACTATATTTATTATTGAAGCCACTAAAATATTGAATTTAAGCCACTAAAATATTGAATTTAAAGCTAATCCCATCTGTTTGAGGCAATATGTTATTAATTTTATGCCTAGAATAATAGCTTAGTTTTATAGTTCCATTCTGAAAATGCATCACAAGAATTTTGATAAAGTACAGAATCTTACTGAAGACTGTCAAAACTATTTAAATTTCCGGAAAGAAGTGTATAAATCTCTCTGAGTTTCAGATTTAGTGATAGATAAGGTAGCTCGAGTTGCATGATCATTACAACACAGAATTTTTAAATAAATTTGTAAGCACAACAGCTTTATCAAATTAAATTAAATTTCAACAATCGAAACCCATTTTCCTTTGGAACAATGAGTATCTATCAGAATATGTCTTGCTGCCAATATGGATTTTAATTCATGTACCCGGTTTTGTTTTAATAAACTCCTTAGTCAATTTTTCAAAGTTATGAACTGCTGGTTTAGGTAGAGGACTGATAATAATCTCAATAAAGTTCAGGCAAGGAAGAGTCTCTAGAACTTTGAACAATTTCTTCATGGGCTTTAGAATTTGGCCTTCGATCAACTCTCCCACTATTATCAGTTTCAATGTCTCAAGGTTTGTCTGGGTTTCTAGTAATTTAACAAGCTTTGCAACGAAAGGCTTAGTTTCGATATCTGATTTAATTTTCAGGAATCTTAATCTTTTTGTTTGAAGGACTTTAAATCATTTGGATATTCTTACTTGATCTATTGTTGTGTATTCAACACTGAATCGATAGAAAAGATCAAATCGAATTTAAATGTGTTCATCTAAGTCTCGTACTTTATTCAATAGTTTTTGAGTTAACTCTTTGGCTCTACTCATGATATAAACGACCAAAACCTTTTTGAGAAGATCTCTAAGAGCCTTCTGTAATAGATTTCTAAATATCACAGTTAACTTTAGTAATCTGATCTCTTGGAATAATAATTGTTCATGGCTTGAGAATGCTTCAGTCGATGTCAATGTTATCTAGAGGGATAATATCAGTGATTTGGCATTTCAAAGAGATTTCCTCCCAATGAGATAATATGAAGTTCTTCTCTATTGTGGGTTCTCTTGTACAATATCATTCTAGGTTATTCATGACCAAGACCTTCTTTCCAACAACAACAAATCCTAAATCAGCACAAAATTTGGAATTGAAGAAACCTCTCATCCATTTATTTCAAAGTACGCTCAAGCTTTTCTGTTTGCAGCTTTGGAGAAATGAAGTTAGGCTCTTGAGGAAGTATTCTGAATCCTCAAAGAGTTTTTTATCTAAATCCCTACTCAAATCGAATTTTATTTGCTCGAGCCGAGATGGATATTTTTGAGCATCCTGTTGCCAATCTTTGAGCTTCTCTGAAATTGTCATTAAAGCATCTCATTCATGCTTAATATTCTCTCCAGGCATTATGAGATTGAAGTTTGAAGTGATGATTCTTTCACAGACTTGCTGAATGGTAACTGTATCAAGGTGAGCACAAAAATCTGTCACACTTAGTCCTCCTTGGGCTAAGTCTCAATAAAGATTTAAATTTTCAGACCCTAAAACTGGATAATCAACATAATAGTCTATTTTTCCATCCTCATCTACTCTAAACATGGGACAATCGATTTCGCAATCAAATATTTTGGGTGGGATAAAGTACTTTCACCCTCCAAATTCACGAGTTTCTAATTCTAGCCCAAAAAGGTTGCTCAGATTAAGCAGCAGGTATAACTGCTCAGAAAGAGAACATTCTGATCTGCAAGCCTTGTGATAACTTCATGCGATATTTTTGATTGTCACATTCCTCATATTGATATCTCCTAATATGCCCTTAAATATCCTTTACTAGCATAAATTTTCTAATTTCTATTTTGATTTCTAGCTGGTACAATTCGGAAAATCCGCTCTCCATAAATTTGTAAAATACCAAATCTGTCATTCGTGATTTAAGGAACTCATGATCAATAATAATATAAATTTTCAGTGGCTTTTTCAACAAGAAACAGGTTTTCCCTTGCTCTTCAGGGTCGTTTCTTAATAATATGTGCTTTTTCAGGTTCCAGAGAGTCCTTGAGGCTCTCCTGAACTGGGTCATGAGCATCTGGCACTCGTCTGCAAATCCATAGTAGGGCAAGATTTTTGAAGCCAACGACAGAGTGGTCAGCAACTCTTTGCGAACAATTGGTGGTTGCGATCTCCTCAACATTTAGATTATTCTCTGAATTGGTCGAGTGGCTATATTTACTCTAAGTTCTAATATTTAGCCCATACTAAAAGTTGGTAAGTTGTATGTTCCAGTATAGCTTGTATCTATGACTAAGCTCATCATTAAAATCGAATTTTAATTAAAAATTATCAAAATTGAAAGCAAAAGTCGGGGTTTTGGGGTTTTGGGGTTTTGGGG